TGAAGGGAAGCTAAGAAAGAAATTATTCCTGGTTGTCTGAATTCAGCACCACACACCAGCACAATGTCCTTCAGGAGTTTTGCTGATGTTTGTGCATTGGCCACCAACCCAAACCTCAAAGCAGCATCACTAAAAGGCAGCTCCAACATTTAGGGGAGCCAAGTCAACACATGGATCACAGGCTCAGGGGCTGGCTTCAGCAGAGCAAACTTTTTGCATGAGTTCCTCAGTTAGCCTAGGTAACTGCTAGACGCGGCAGCACCAGTCCAATACACACCAGGGAACCAAAGCATGGCACAATGCAAGTCACATACGCTCTCGTTAAGCCATCTAAGACTCATCAGTGGGTGAGTTACTCATTGACAAAATGCAGAAAGAAGTGTATTTTATAAAGAAATGTTAATCTTTGTTCAGACTCACCACTTGTTACTATATACACGCACAGAAGGAAAGGGCATCAAGTAGGTTACACATTGTAAAATTGCTTTGCCCGCTCAACCTCATATGGTGTCAAACCTATTTATTTTCTGGCATGTGTCTTTTTACAAATGCTTTTCTGCCTCTATGAATAAATAATTAAGGATTTGGGAAAGCAGTGCATCTTTATTACAGCACTTCTTCCTTCTCTGTTGCAGGAATGACCTGCCAAGCTCGAAGTTCATACATTACAAGTGAGATCCTGTGGGGTTACCGTTTCACCCCTGTCCTCACTCTGGAGGACGGATTTTATGAAGTTGACTACAACAGTTTTCATGAAACCTATGAGACCAACACACCGGTTTACAGTGCCAAAGAGCTGGCAGAGATGGCCAGCCGAGCAGAACTGCCCCTGACGTGGTCTGTTTCCAGCAAGCTGGACCAGCATGCTGAGCTGGAAACTGAAGAGGAAGAAAAGAATCAAGAAGACCAAAATGAAAGAAACGGTGATGTGGCCAACTTGGAGAATGAGTCCAAAGTGTAGAACCACCAGAGGCGTAAGGGCCACACCACCTCCTTTATCTTCTCCCTCTTTGCTCTCCTTTTCTTTCTCCAATGCACCTTTTTTTTTTTTCTTCCTTTTATTCTCAGTTCCAGGAAAATAAATACTTCAGATGCGAAATATCTACCTGTCCAATTTAAACTCAAGAGATTCACAGACTAAGCAAAGGCGTGGGTTAAAGCTGCAATACCCATTATCGATAGTGGAACCTCAATCCCCACCCTGGTAACCATTGCTGGCTTCCTCAGCACCTGAGTTCAGACCTCCAGGTTTATTCACATCAACAACTAAAAAACCCAAAAGCAATGGGAATATATACAAGGGATTTAAAAGGAAGGACTGATTAATGGTCATCAGAGTAATAGGCCTTGGCTCCAGCTTTTACGTATTTCAGAACAGTTTCCCATACTAACTGTCAAGCCTCTATGAAATGGGCCTTGCAGCTTTAAGATGGAGGTGAGAAGAAGGATCCGCAGTCCAACACGATACTGTACATATGCCTTATGTAATTACTTACTCTTTACATTTAGTAATAAACACCGCATGTACAAAAGTACTGTAGTAAAGAACTTCTAAATAATGTACATAGATGTGTAATTAATGTAGGTTTAGAAACAGAGTTCTAGAAATATTGGGATGCAAAAACTAACTACCCATTGAGTAGGCATTTCTCTTCTAATATTTGGATTGTAATACTGATTTTTTTCCCCTATAACTATGGTTCTTCTAGTGCATGACATTTTCTTCAGTGTACCAGACTGGCAGCTATTTAGAGTACCTCACTGTTTGCCAAACAGATCATTTTACTGACTCTAAAAAGCCATAAGTCTGGGAGAGGGCAGGGTAGAGAAATTGTAACTTCATTACTGATATACTGTGAAAATGTTTACAAACAAGGCAAACCGTTCCTGGTTATTTTTTGGCAGTTCAACCTAAAATTTAGGCTGTGGCAAACTCATGGCAAACCAGAATTTCCTGCATACTCTTAATATAGCAAGCATGTTTCATGTGGAAGTATTATCCTTTATGTGCAATATCTAGGGAAACTTCTCCCTTCTCCCCACTTGAACCATGGGATTTCAGCGGACTAGTTTGCTACACAAACAGCACAAGCCATTGAAAACTGAACGTTGCACCTTAGCGAGTAGATTTTAGTTACTCAGCTGGGAAAGAAACAGCTGAATTTCATCTGAAGCCATAATCAATGAAATTCATTTGTTGACGGTGCCGGTGCTTGGCTGGTCCGACAGTCACAGATTGTGTGACATCCCTGGGTATATGCTTCAACAGGGTTTCTCAGCTAAACACACGGTTCTTGCCACCCGTGCTCAGGAGAGTGGCTCCCTAACAACTTTCGTCACCTTAGGTTAGCTCCTTGGCTGTTGTAAATCAGTGTAAATCCTGTACATTCCAACTTGGCAACTGTAATATTAACGGGACAGTGATAATTTGCATAGCTTACACAGCAACACTCCATGCGAGTAGGGGAGCTGATGTGTACAGTCACAGTTTCACAGACATGCTCCATACAGGGCTGCTCACATGGTGCAGCATTGCCTAGTGCTAAGGACCGCCCAGCCAGGCCCAGCGTGCATAAAATACTACCTGTTGAAAAAAAAGAATTGTTTTCGGTGGGCTTTCGATGAGGCCCATCAAGAACAGCATTTCTGTTAGCGAAGAAGAAGCTGCAGCCTTAATTTTGCTTTTTTTTTTATACCTGCCTACTCCAGAAAGAAAGAATACACTGAAGAGAATCTGAAGCATTTTTGTACAGAAACATTTACGTTAAAACAGAAGAGAAAAAAAAATAACCTCAGGAGAAACTTAGTGGGCAGGTGGAAATTTTGCACTGTGATATAGCTTTCACATTAAATTCACACCTATTTTCCATTTGTTTTACTGAAACAACAGTCCCTGGCTAAATTTCACAGTGTGTGGCTAATCAGTGGGGGTTTCTGCAGGTCCTCTAGCTGTGCACCATGCTGAGGTGGGCAGAGTAGGGTATGGGGAAGGGGCTGCACACTGGCAGATCCTGGCTGGATGGAAAAAGTTTTTTGTTTCAGCTCTAAACATTTTCCCTAAAAGGCTTTCACAAAGCAGCATGATGCAAAGAATGGTGCAGAATATGGATTTTTCTTCCCTCCACCCAGGATGGCTGATTCTGCCAACTCAGTAAAGGTTACTTACACTTAATTTTTGTGAAATAACACTCATTTTGCTACAGCCCTTTCGAAGCTCATTCCTCTGCCCAGGCATCAGCAGCTGCCAAGTGCTCCAGCTCATCCATCACAACCCACCTGTAAGGCTACCCAGGAGGGGTACTGAGCGTTTCTAAGGAAGGGTGGCTCCCACAGCTCCCAGGGAAGACAGAAGCCTTATAGCAGAGGAGTCATGGCATCGGTAGTGGCGAGCCACCCACGCGTGTCAGTCCTAGCAAAAGGTGCATGAGCTGAAAGCAAAGCATTCCTCTGAGGATAAACCTGCTTTTCGCTCTTGTAATTTACTGGGCCACTTTATAATTCATTGCTGCAGTTTAACAAAAGTTTGCATTAATCAGAACAGCAGCTCAGGGCCCTAATTAAACCTTTTTTGTGTCATTTAGCAAAAAAAAAAAAAGGACTTTCCACCACTGGGGCATGCGCATGTGTAAGCTATATTTTTGTGAATAGGGCACTTAAAGCTAAAGGTGTGTTTGTTCGTCTCTTTCTCTCTCTCCCCCTGTATTTTATTGTCTTTGGTATTAATGTAGTATGGACTGTAAAGTTTATGAAATCTCATTTTTGTAACATAAGCTTAAAAAAAAAATAGAAGCCTCCAAAGCTTTCAACAGGGAAGCTTCACGTAAACTTTGTACTAGAATGTCCCTATCAAACACCTCTATTTTTCTACAATGATTGATTAAGCAGTTTAACAATGTATTTTGTGTCAATTATTTCAACTGAACTGGTAAAAAGACAATTAAGAACTGAATGCTGTTAATTAACAATGGATTTTCAAGCCGTATATACTGAGTGGTGTTTTCATTAACAGTAAATAACTTAACCTGGGAACTTCATCTCCTGATCCTAAACAATTCCTATGGGAATGAATGCAACATTTTAATATAATTGACTACATAATTAATCAAGACCCGTTACATCTCTATATACTTCACTAATACAACTTGATGTGTTTTTCTCAGAGTATCTTGTGATTTCCAGAAGCAAAAGAATTTATAGAGATAAATGTGAGCTCTCAGTAATCTACGCAGAGGTGCTTTGTGCAGACCTCAGGCACAGTGTTGCACAGTTCTCTCTGGCTCCTTCTCACTTTTTTTTTTTTTTTGGATCACACACTAGTTTTTTCTCCCCCTGCCCAAGTTTCCAAACCAGATATTTCAGACGTTGATAATAGACACAGACATACTGCTTTTAATGGAGCAACACAGATTTATACTGAGCGAGAATCTGACCTTCAAAAAATGCTTGAAGCTCTGGCTTATTATTCAGCAATAAAATAAATTTCAGAAATTATTTCAAAATAGACATCAAAAAAAGCAAACATTCTCTTAGCAGTATATAGCTGTTACACTCTAGATCTTTGCCCAAAAAACTGTCATCATTGGCATTGATGTGAGCCATCCCAGCAAATTTAACTTCTGTGACCAAAGTTAAATGTCTCTTTCCATGAAAGGCTTTGCTGCAAGCGTGCGGGTAGAGAGGATTGCACAGCCCTGAGTCAGAGCTCTGCGCACCCCTTGAAAGGCAGAGGAAGGAGGTGTCATGCTACAGAAAGGTGCCCAGCAGACACCTGCCGAATCTTGGCAAATGCAAGAGGAAGATGCTTGATGGATGGTTTGAATTCAAGACAGGTTCTGGATTTAGCCCTGGTGCATGGAGGTGCCTAGATCTGGGGTTGTCCATGTTCATCTGCTGGAGTTAAAGCAGAAATTCAAGTCTTTCAAAACCAGGGAAGAAATCCCTCTTCTCTTTTCAGCGGCAGGGCAGAAGTTCCCGTTACACTCAGCTGCATGGTATTGGGCTACCCAGGAGAGTGAAGACGTGGATTCAGCGCTTTCTTCAGCCTGGGAGGTTCAAAGCTACATCCCACTTTCTCCCAAGAAACTAACCCTGCCATAACAGCAATGGCAGGGCCCCAGCCCCTATGCCAAGGGCTGACTGACTCTCGAATTCTCCCACTAGCCCAAAGAAACTTTAAATCCTTGTGTTTTTAATGGAAGAACGGAAAATTCCTCATTCCCCAGGACCATGACAGCCTCCATCCTATTGATCAGGGTACTCCTTGGCTAACTGGCAGACCTCAGGCCGAGGAAGGCACAGTGCTCAGGTTTCTCACCTCATGAGCCAGCACAGCCAGCAGTCAGCTGCTACCTGCAGAGTGCAACACCACAACCTTTGCCTACATTTCTGAATGCAACCAGCTACCACATCTCTTAGGAGGGCATAACCCTGAAAGGCCTGATGTGCTCTGAACACCACCCACCAGGCCACCTTGCCAGGAGGTGGAAGGAAGCCAGGTCATTTTACCTCACTCCAGCTTTGCTGTCAGACGGGTGCAGCAGCACGCAGCCCTGAGAGGATGCATGGTGTTATGCCCAGAAACAACAGCCAGCAGGAGGTAGGGGTGAATTTGTACCACTTCTTTTACAGATTTGAATTTAAGCAAGGGGTGTATTTGTACCACTTCCTCCAGTTATTTAATGTGGACGTAAATTAGAGGCTCCACACTGAAAATGTAATTTATGTATATAGCAATGGTAGGGTCCAGCACCTCAGGTAGGACATTTCTTAACAACTATCACCAGAGCTTCTGGCTGTGAAACATAGATTTTTTTAGTACTGTGGTACTCTCTATCCATCAAAATAACTTTCTTCTCAGAATATCAGTCTCCTTAACAGCCACGTTACCTCACTCAGACTCTGTTTAGACTATAAATCAGACCTAAAAAACAAGAACAAAAGTTGGCTTCTCTTCCACTCTTG